GGGGATGCTTCATTCTTAAGGTGGAAGAGTTATAGTGCAAATTCTCATGTAATACAAGAAAATACGGGTGCATCGTTGCTAAGAAAATAAACTGGACAGTTTTGGGAGCGATTTGTCATCATTTTCAATGCTTAAAAGTATGTTTTATGTATGTTTACATTAGAACCTTAGCTTGTAATTACAGTTATCCAATAAAATTTCTGAAAACTTAATGACATATATTTTTAACTCATACAGAGTATACAACAGTTTAACACATTTATTATTATAAAACTTATAACCAGTACTAAATGTTCTAATAACGATATGGAATAACAGTTATTGCTATTATTTCGTAAAGGGTATAAAAAACGTTGTATACTAGTAATACAATAATTTAATTAAGAATAAGGTTATAGTCACTATACAACTGTGCTAGCAGTACGCGTTTTATATCCAATATTCACCTGTTTAACTGTCACATATAGTATACAATGGTCTTATAATGGCATGTAGAATTCTAATAAAGAATAAAACGCATTTCTTTCAGTGCACTCGTATTTTGAGAACGCTGCTCAATTGGTTAGTGTAAATAATATTTGATATTATTTGCTACAAAAATTAATGTTTTACTCTAGGGTCTAGGGAATGTGTGATTTAGGTACGTCGGTCGTAGGTACTTTACCACCTTGGAAAAATCATGAATACACTTAAAAAGGTAATTTTTTGTAGAAATGTTACAACGTACCTAATACTGTGTAAACTTTTCTTTGTTCTTAAAGTACTATTTGTAGTTTCGTAGTAAAATTACGTTTCAGGTGTAATGTCGATTTATAAATTTACATTTGAGTGTATTAAGAGAAGAAATGTAAATTCGCACGTTTAATGTGTTGTATTAAAGCAGTTCTACATTACCTATAGTGGAGTGTATCAATGATCTAGTGTGTAATTTTAGATAAAATGTTGACGAGTGTATCGACAGAGACAAAGACCCTCCCGCTGAAGTACCAACAGTCGCCACCCTCTTCCAGACACCTGATTACCGAAACTAACGTGCTCAATCAAACCAGAACGGATTATATAACGAGTCGGCCGAGAATCGAACAGGTAACCGTGCAGAGCAGAGGCGGGGAACACCTCCCCCCTCGCTCGAAATGGTCACTCGCTCGCGGCTACTTGAGACGTCAGTTCGCCCGAAGCCCTCTAACTAGTCAAGTTCTTGCCATATTATGTGCCTTAATTAGTGAGTGAAATTACCGCCGCACAATGGACAGCCACCCGGACTCGCCAGATTCCCTCCCGGGCGACCAACTCACCGTCGACCTCCTCAGCTCGAGGGCCAAAAGACGCAGGGTCCTTATCAACGACGTCCGCAGGGGCGCAACCAGCGACATAACTAACAAAAATAACAACAACGACGTAGACTTCGTCCTGATGGACGACGAGCATCACCACGAGAACGGAGAAGACGAAGTACGTATCTCTCTTTTAAAGGTTATATTCCCTGTTGCTGTATACCCGTCGCGCCGATATTACGGATCCTTTCTTCTACTCAGAAAATCCCACGTTATTGGAAATATCGTAAACTAGGAGCGGATCTGTGGCGGCAAAGTCCTATACCCCGCGGGAGGGTTTCCTAGTTTACCTGGGGCGGCTTTCGAATCTACCTGTTTGCGTTCGCGTCGTGACTGAGCGTTGAGATCATGGTGATTTATTTCGCAAGAATACCGTCCGAGCTGCCTGGTAACTTTCCACGTTCGTGTCGTCGATGAAAATGCAGGGGGTCGCACTTCCAAATAACAGATGATTAATTCTAATCGGATTCAAAACCTAGTTTTTGTTAATGGGGCGGTAAATAATGACGACTTTGGAGAGGTTTTGTTCTCGTGACGCTACTGGGACATGACACGATATTTTTCAAACTTTCGCAGTTCCTGGTACTTATACATCGCTTCTAATGTCTCTATTTCTTTAATCCTATACGATTTTAACTAACTAATGTTCAATAAGTATTTGGTGAAAAAGGCATTTTATACGTTGAAGGAATTCTTTTCAGTTTAAGGTGTGTAGGCTTATGTACGTATACATATTAATGTGCAATATTTTTCTCTAAAGAAAACAAAGATTATTACTGCAGCGTTGCAAGCTGATAGAATTTTAAATTTGAAATATAAACAATGATTCTCCAGTTACTTGTAAAAGTATGAAAATAGAATGTATTTTATAAAAATTATTTTCACTCCTAATGATTTCTATAATATTTCAATATTTAAAAAGTTTTGCCCTCTCTTACAGCTGCTTCTATTTTTATGTAGTTTATTTTACCAAATTATAACAACAGGTTTTTGCCAAAATCTATTTCCTCTCTTGGCGCGGATTGGATTAAATAAACATTTTCAGTTTTTATTCTTAGAGAAAATAATTTTTTATCAACAATTCTTCATAATTTGTGTAACTTAACAAACATGGGTTTGCAATAAATAACTACTTCTTAATAGGCAATAAGGGTAATTAAGGTAAAAAAGCATTTCAGCATTTCTTATAAAGTACTTTCCTATACTTATTGTTATTGAATTCAATATATCCTCTATGCATATGGTAACTTGGTGTTTTTCATAAAATATACCTATTTATTTATATGAATAATTAAAATATTTAAGTAAAAACAGTTTTACATTTTTTCTTGGCATACCTATACCTACCTACCTCTATATCTCTCTTATCCATAACATTTTGCTCTGTTTAATTACTGGAGTCAAGATAGCTTAAATTTACGCATTATTTCGAAATAATTATGAGAAGCGTGCATGGATTTTCCTAAAACTTTTTGAAATTACTTGCAGATAAGTATTAGAAAAAAGTTATAAATTTATTTTTGTACGCTAATTGTTTTTTAATTGTTTAAACAATAATAAATAGTTTTTTTAAGAACATTTAAAAAAAATCGATGAATTTTAAATCGAATTCTTTCAAATTGACGATATAGGGGTTTTCGATGTCGCTGAACAAAAGAATATGAAGTCGGAAAATGAAAATTCAAAACGGCTGATCCAATGTGGCCGACTATTTTAAACAATTTATTTAACAATTATCGACTTTAAATCAAACTCGCTCATATTTGTAATATAGAGGTTCGAAAAATTAAAATTATAAATGGCTAAAGAGGTTTTATTGAAAACACAAGTTTTATTTTTAAAGAAACAAATTTATTACAAAATAATTAATTTTTAAATCTCATCGAGTTCTTGCTCTTCATCAAAAATAACTGGCCAATTAAGGCAATCAATACCAGCACATTAAGAGCATGCTGCAGTGCAAATCAACCCTGCTTTCCTTTAAATACAAAATTACAAAATCAAAATCAACGTCCCCTATTATTTATTTATTCATTAATTATTTTAAAAATGGATCAATATTCATATATAAATATTAAACTCATACATTTACAGGTTTAGCATAAAAGAAAACGAATATAAATACCTTAAATGCAAACTGAACATTATTTGTAATACTATAAAGTAATAATATTACATTAAAGAATTACAAGTGTACAAGAGTACAACCTCACAATGGACAAAATATGTGAACAATACACTTTTTAACACACTCATAACTGCAGCTTACTCGAAAACATAAAAATCATATAAACGCTTTTAAAATAAATAAAACTGTAAGTAACAAAACCGTTGGATTGCTCCCTCAAAACCCTGCAACTTTTGTCCTAATAATTTTTTTGTTTGAGCAGTATTTTCTGAGATAGAGGGGGGTTCCAAACTTTTTGAACACCCTGTATATAAGAGAACATATATTCACAATTTTAGATACAGAACATACGTTTTAAAAATGAATATTAAATCAATTCATCAAGAAACGTATTGCTGTTATAACAATTTTCCACTTATTACTATAAATAAAAAAAATATTTTTCGCTGGATTTACTTTTTTAAGGTCTTAGCTTAATTCTTTGATGGTTTATTAAACAAAAAAATATATTTTTTTTACATTATTTAACATTGTTTAACCTTATTTAACAATAAATTTCACGGATTTTTCATGAAATATTTTTATTTTTTGTTATTTTTTGGTTTTTCAACTATTATTTCAATTTTTTAAGAAAACTAAAATGCACCATCTTAAAGTAGAGATTTTAAGCTTTAAAAAGTGCTCTCATAATGTTTCAATATCACATTTGCAACTATAGTTTTTGATCTATAAAGTATGGCCTAAAAAGTATTATTTGTGATTTTTTAAAATTATTGCATGTGTTGGGCTCAATATTTTTCAAATTTAATTTTTAAGATTTTTTCCATATCGAAATACAAAGTGAAAGATAAAAAGTTCTCTCTTCCAGTAATTTTCGCGAAGTCAAAATCTATCTTGACTCCACTAAATAGGGTATTTTGTCACCTACAAAAATTAAAAAAATTAAATAAATAAGACCTTACTGCAATAGGATCGTTTTCATGGAATTATTTTTGTCTAACTAAAAATTTTACATTAAAAATATACCTACAGTTTAGAAAATGAATCTTCTTTTCTTTCTTTTTTAATAAGTTGACGGTTTAGAGAGCAGGGAAGGGGGAGAAAGGTCAGTTCTAATTTTAAAAACTGATATGGATTAAACTTCTAACTAAAGTATGTGGTATATAGTGGTGTATTTGTTTTTTTGTCTGCTACTTTGTGTTAGACGTTTGCTTTGGCAGAAATAATTTTATAGGACAAATAATGCGTTATTAAAGCAGTCTACTATCACTATTACTCCACTTTTTTCTTATTTTATTCTATAATCTTTCTGGCTAAGGGTTCACCGAAGAAAACATTATCATGAAAATTCATAATTGTTCCTAAACTGGGGTTAGGCACAAATTCTGTGAAAGTTCAACGTTTATATTATGATTGTTTTTACAATTGTAATATTATTACCAATAAATTGTAATTGTTCTAAAAATTTCCAACATTATTCTATGAAAGTTTTATATAATTTGTGTCAATTTCCATGACATTGTTTTCCGTGTTTACTAATTAATTTTCGATTTTTTTCCACATGCGACAAAGATTGTTTCGGATAAAAACTGATAAGATCCGTATGAATCACAAATTGCATGCAAAGCGTTATTTCTTCCATTTTTTATAGATATTTGCGGCATGTATATTATATTATCTTCTCTCTATATTACCCCCGTTTTGTATAATTTGATGCAGCAGTTACTTACTTTTTGTTAAACTAAGGATTTAGGTATATTTTTAGAATTTAGGTAGAGCACCGATAAGATTACTTGGTCCTAACTTTACCTATACCTATTGATAAATTACCTCAAAAGAAAAAAATTAAATAAATCGAATAGAACGTTTCGTTTTCCACATATAGTGTCACATTTATTTATCTCTTAAGATGATTATTGTAGATTAGTGAAACTTGGTCTAATAACTTAAGTAGTTACAATTTAATATTCAATAAGTTACTAAACAAATTCTGCAACCTGTGGAACTTAGGAATATCGCCATTGAGTACTTTGGAAATTGGATACTTGTGTTTAATTCTAGTTGGTGTTTCTAAGAAAAATAGGTGCCTTTTATTTTATTCGAAAAATGTGCCATTTTGGACTATTCGACTTCGAAGTAGTTGAATAAATGGAAAGTAATTCCAAAAATCAGTACTTATTCGTTTGCCAAAAAAATATGTAGAATTTTCTTTGTTAGATATTAATTTTTAAATATTCTGTAATTATGAAGTTCAAAAAAATATCATTGGCGCGGGAATTTTTAAATTCATATTCCTCTAAAATTTAAACAACAATAACCTACTGATGTAAAATTTAAAATTGCTTTGCTAAAGTTTTTTTTAGCTTCTGACAGTTATATTGTATTTAAAATTATTATATTTCTAAAAAATCTTATATATTTTGTAATGGAAACACGTTTTAGAATTATTTTGAATACATTCAACTCTACACTGTAAGAAAAATTGAACTTATTTTCACTCAATTTCACTCAATATTAAATCAATTTCTGTCCACCCGATTGAGTGATATTTTCCTCTATTAGAAAATTATCAAAATACCCAATATTGGCTGAAAATATAAATATAAATTTGCATTTTTTTATTAAAATTTTAACACTCTGTAGATCAGAAAGTAAGCGTTTTTGGAATATAGTATATTAAGGAAATATATCACAAACCACTTGTACTATGACCTCCTGCAAAGAATGCATCGACTTACCCTGTACGTATTGGAAATTTACAAAAATTCTCTAAATATACCAAAACTATACTTACAAAACTACAAATTACAATTTTTTTGTCAAGTTACTGGTAAAATTACAGTTTATTTGACGTGTGCACTTCGGGACACACGCGCGTTTTTTAAAGCATTTCAAAAATTTTTATCTACGCTAGCTACTGACTCCGATGTTCTCATTAAAAAGGTCCGTGAAAAAAAAAACAAAAATTTGATTAAAGGGGCTCGTTTTTA